TAACTTTCAAGTCAGCAGAAACACAGAGAGAGAGAAAAAAAGGCAAAATTTACTTTTTTAAAAATTGGCACTCATCAGCTCCCAGAATTACATCCAATATCAAGCTCTAGAAATCTCTTCCTATCACTATATTTAGAGTCACAAAGATTTCAAATGCTTGAGACACAGAGAAGCGACATCCTAGACACTGTTCACACTAGCGCTGAGACCATTCCCCATTTGCACATCGAGTCAGAGAAAGCCAAGCACTGATCCATTTATAACGATCAACCACATTCCTGGAAGCCATGCTTTTACACATCTAAAGACAAGGCAGATTTCAAACCCGCTGAAGACATTCAAGACTGGGAAGTTTACAGGAAGGGTTTTCCACGCCTGGGGACACCAACCCTCTGCAGACAAAAGGCCTGTGGCATGATGCTTTCCCCTCTCAGAAGGCAACGGAAGCCTCCAGATCTTTTCTGCCGCTTCTTGACTTGCCAGTATCATACATGTTTCCTTTTAGCTGAAAAAGTACATACGACCCAACATCTGCACACAGCCAGTGAAATAAAACAGTGCAGTGGAATGTGATTGGACAATGGCAGCCTGAGCCAGAGGAGGAGAATGTAAAAAGATCGTCAACGGGACAAGCATCACAGTTCCTGCCCTGAGGACCACCAGTATTCTCAGCCCGGAGCCCTCGCTTTGGTCAAGCCTGCAGCACCTGGGCACCTCCTCTACTGGCTGTGCTTGCGCCTCCTCCACCAGCATCCTTGGCCCTGCTCTTGGAAGGAGGAAAGGGCGCAAGGTCAAGCCCACCTTTAATTCATTCTTCACCAACCCTGGGATAAAGCGGGATCGCTAGAAAAGAAGTACAGAACTCCCAAGCCGCCACCCCGCACACCTCCTAAGAAGATGCCTTAGGTTGGACCAGAGATGAAAATGTCCTTGAACAGAACGCTGGATGCTGCATGGAAACAAGTCACTAAAAACACTAACGTGTGTAGCTGTCAAACACACAGACCCTTTGGCTGTTTCCTAAGCTACCTGAATCCAGCTGTACCTGGGCTAGGCACAAGGCAAAGAGGGGGAAATACATTATGCAAAGATAGATGAAGGAGAAAGCAATGGCCAACCTCTATTTTTTGTTCCAGGATCACTTCGTTAAGCAGGCGGCTCTAGGCAGGAAGTTGCCCAAGGCTGTCCTAAGTCTACAAGGGCATTTTTTCCTTCTTCAGCTGATCTGCGCTGAGCCAGAGCATCAATCGACCAGGCCTTGACATCTGATGATGTCAATTCAGACTGATGATCCAATGCAGGGTACAGTGGACACTGCAAGCACATGTAAAAACGGCAAGCAACTTAGGAGGAGAGAACAAAAGGTGACTTCTGTTGGCTTGCTACTCTGGAGAAAAAGGAGCAATCTACCTTTATAGCCAATGGGATATCACAGAGGCAGCTGCCTTGATGTGGCCAATATATACATATGAAGATCAGTGTTGGACAGAGGTAAAACTGCAGTGGCTGATAAGTGCAGGTTGCTGCTTTTTCAACAGCAAATTCCTTTCGCAGACAACCCCCCAGAAAAAGATCAGAACAAGCAGCTCCTAGCCGGCCAAAATCTGAAGTTCCGCAAGTACAAAAACATACTCAGAAAATTTTAAAACTCCACTTTCAGCACAAAGATTTAAAACTTGAGAGTCAGCAAATCGCCTTTGAATCATGCTACAAAAACAGACTTCTTGGCAAAGTAACTCTTGGTATTTCCCTTAAAGAGGTACAAAACGGTCAACGTTCCCCAACAAAAACTGTCTTTTTGAGTCCCTAGTTTGTAAAGAGCAGGAGCCCGGCAATTAGGGTGAATTCACATGCGTATGTCACGGAGCCACTGACTGTGCCAACAAGTGAAGACCTGCATGTGTGAAACAGCTGTTGCAGATCCAACTGCAGGCACAACTGTCGGAATCACATGCCATCACCTGAGGAACCCTATTCTTTTCCTAGGAGGCCACTGAGTGCTGAGCTGGGAGCTATCAACTGACAAACCTCTGTGTGTGAATCAATCCTTTACCAATCCCTCGAAATGCTAAAAAAACAAACAAAAAAAACCCCACCCCAGACAAACCAAAAATAACCCCCCTGGAAACAGAAAGAAACTGTCCCTGGTGTGAAACTGAAGCTGAGGAGCATTGTTGGAGGTCTTACAGTTGCAGAGAAGAGGAGTTCTCTTCTGATCCCAAAGGTGAAACTCTCCAAGAAGTGCGGCATGTAAAGCTCGTTCACCTGGATTGCTCAAATGTGCAAATGTCCTTGGGTAGGTGGTTTGGTTTGACTACAAGCCAGGATGATGAAAACAAGGAGGGGGGGAGGAGTGACTGAGGTTCCCCCTCACTTATGGAAACAGACGCAGGTTGTTCTCTCAAACTGGGCAGCACATGAGAAAAGCCGAGGACCTCTCTCAGAGCAGGAGGGCTCCCCCAGTTCAATCCTGGCGACTCGGGAGCCCAAAGTTACTTTTCACGGAGGAACCAGAAGATTTTATTTTACTATTTTTTTTAATAAAATTAAACAATAAAACAAACAACAAAAAAGGAAGCGAATGCCTCTTTCACTGCCCACTCCCTCTCTCTTTCTCTCTCTCCAAGCGCCGGTTTCATCACACTCTAAAGCACACACAAGAAAACTGAGGTCTCCGGTGGTGAAGACGCCGTGGCCCGAAGGATCGGTGAGATGCGATGGAAGGGAGAACGTAACTCGAGGTTAAAAGAAGCAGGTCAGCTGACGTAGGTTCCACAAAAGGAGGCCGGCCTCTTCGCTGGTTTAGCCAAACTGGAAAAAGAAATTCCCTGGCCCGGAAGCTGAAAGACAGACAGGAGAGGCACACGGCTGATGCTGGCATCCTCACTGGACAAAACTCCCTCCGCAACTTGCCTGAAATATTGCTGCCGGCCAGATCTCAGAAAGGATGGGCTTATTTTATTTATGCTACAGTCGGCCTTTCTTACAGGGACCCAAGGCACAGGGAGTCAATGCCGTCACAAGATGGGACAGTCGATAAAACAGTGCAATAGGATTTGGGTCGCAGAACCAACCCGAAGTCTAAAAAACAGAACTGAAGCGAAGCAGAAGTGTTAACATGACATATTAAATGACGCAAGGTTTTATTCTGGGTATAAACTTTTGTGTGCCTGCACATGAGAGCTTGTGCCTTGAATAAAACTTCGTTGGTCTTAAAGGTGCCACTGGACACAGACCCACAGCCAACGATACACAGTCGTACAGACCCCAAAGCTCACAAAGCCTTTTGTCACAGTGCTACCCCCGTTGCCTGTGTAGAAAAGCCCTCTTGAATAATTCAGTCTAGCGTACAACAGATTTAGAGTCCAGTGGCACCTTTAAGACAAACTTTATCACACTTTATCAAATACATTAGAATGGCAAAAAAGGTTCAAACTTATAGCCAGAGAATGAACGGCAAAATTAACATGCAACATGATGATGATCAAGATATGCAGAGTGACAGTAAATAACAAGTTAAGGTTATAAGCCCAACCGTTGTGAAGCAATAAATATGTCAGACTAGCAGAGAAATGTCTAAAAGTGTCTTTTCTAATTGTGGGAAGTGTCTGGGGATTCTTCATTTTCTCCTGTCAGATGGGGAGGGCACTAACACTACCTCCCCCTCCAAAAGCCAGTGGACTGGGCCCTTTCCCTGACCTCCTCAGACAGACCATTCCACAAGGCAGGGGCCACAACAGAGAAGGCATGGGCAGCTGCTGATTTCCCCCACTTGCCGGTTGGCACTGGCTGAAGGCCTTGCTCACGAAGCTGCTGTGGCAGAGCACGGGGGGAGGTGGTCTCATAGATACGCGGGTCCAAGGCCATGAAGGCCTTTTGCATGTGACAGCCAATACTTTAAACTGAGCCTGGTAACTGACTGGCAGCTGGTGGAGTGACAGTAGAATGGGAGTAATATATGCAGAGAGACTACCTAGCAAAAACCATGAAGGAGAAGGAAAAAAGGCTGGGGAGGAGACGCTTAACAAGTAAAGTTAACCATTTATCACAAAGAATAACAAATAGTCAATATGACACCATCCAACAGGTAAGTATGGCATACAGCAAGTCAATACAAATCAACATGACATAATTGCAGGTCGAATCAACAGGAAAGTGAAATACAACTACTATATATAACACCAACGAAGACTCCGGATTACCTGTTGGATCATTACCTGAAATTGTGTCGTATTGATTGGTATTGGCTTACTGAATGGGAGTAAGATGCATGGCTCCGTCTAGCTCCCGATAACAGGATGGATGCAAAGTTTGAGCACCTCAGAGAGAACAAGGTTGGCTCAGCCTCACTACACTCAGGGGGACAGAAAACGTCTTCCTCTGACACGCAAACCCTGGGCGCGTCTGCCTGGCCGGGCGATGACGGGGGATGCAAAGCCGCTCAGAGGAGGTTGAGGCTCGGGATTGGCAGGGGATCCAACTGGCTCCGGGACACCTGAGGGTGCAGCGGCCCAGAACGCAATCTCTGGCACCCTTAGGAGGTGGGGCCTCAGGAGGCGTAAGGTCCGGCACGGCAACTGGCTTTTGGAAATACGGAGTCGTCTCTAAATTCCGTCTCCGCAGCCTGAATTTAACAAGTTTCAGCTTCACTCGGGAATGTAGGCCCTGCCAGAGCAAAAGCCGCGGGGTGGGTGGGGTGTGGGGTGCCATACCGCACAAACATGTTCTTGAATAGACGGGGTGAAGACAGACCGCTTACCTTCGAAGCTAAAGCCTCCTGGCCCACCAAAGAAAGCCTTGAAGATGTTGTTCGCATCGAAGTCTGTTTTGGGGAAGGGGGGGAAGGAAAAAGAAAACAGAGCAGGACAGTTAAGAAGGGACTCCATCTGTCAGCAAGCTGCCAATATGTTTCCCTATACTCTGTTTATGCCCTTGTGTTTCACTATTCTCTGTGTAGGCTCTTATGTTTCCATATTCTCTGGGTATGCGCTTGTTTGCTTTCACTTTCCCATGTATGCTTGGTTATGCGCTTCATTGCCTAGTTGCAGGAACGTCCGTATCTCTCAAGGCCACAGGTGGTTGCTGGCGGGTAGTAGCTTGGGTGATCTCATGGCACTATCCATGAGAAGCAGTATGTTATGATTAAGTAGGAGCATTGCTTCCCAGGCTCAATGGCGCGCGCGGGAAGTCCCGCAATTGGGCCTCAGCTTTTTGAATTTACTATAATCTATTGGGATCCATACTTATGCCTCATTCTAAACAGTGATCCTGTTATGCACCTATTGCTTCAAATAAAGTAAAACCTTTCTCTACAAGTGTGTGCTTCGTTGATGCGATGGGAGTCTGACACCATCTAAGCCTCTTGGGTTTACAGACCG